CAAAAGCAAATGCAGCGAAAGCTTTAGGCACAACCAACTTTGACTTGCCTGCTAGTCTCAGAACTGTTTCTGTAGCTAAAGAAACAAGCCATGGAACAACTGTGGCAGTTGATGGTGCAAAATTTAAGGTAAGTATTTTAGGTTTGTAAGAAAAAGACTTTTTTTTTTTTTTTTAGTTTTTCGTGGTAGTGGGAATTTGAGATCCACACTGAGCATGCATCCCCAGGACTTTTCTAGTTTTTTGTATCAGGAATCAAATCTGGACCTTGCACTTGCCAGGCAGGCCCTTGTGCCACTGAGTTATATCTCTGGACCCCCTCCCCCATTTTTCTTTTTCAAGAAAGGGTCTTATTGTGTATTTTAGGCTGGCCTCAAACTCAAGGTGGTCTTTTACCACAGCCTCCCCAGTGCTGGGATTAACAGGAAGACACCACAGTGCCTGGTCTTTTTTTCCCCCCCTTCTGTCTTGAGACAGTGTGGTCTTGAACTTGGTGATCCTTCTGACTCAGAGTGGTGAAGTAATTCAATACTTCAGAGTAATGAATTACAGGTGTGGACCGTGAACCCAGGCTGGTGTCTCTCAGTGAACCTTATTTTCAGTTGACACTGTTAGGTGTTTTGTAATAGTATAATACTGTTGGTACTTTGGTGAGTTTTGTTACTGTAGTCTTCATAGACAAAGTATTTTCTCTTTCTCTTTTTTTGTGTGGCAGAACTGGGCACTGAACTCAGGCCCTTACATTTGCCAGGGAAGTATTATTCCACTTATTCCACTGGGCCCTCTCCCCGGCCCAGAGTATTTTCTTTTTAGCTTTCATTTGAAGCATTATGTTCCCACAAATATGTACTCAATGTACAGTATAGTTTATCTGCTTTATTTCTGTCTTATAGAAATCATGAATGTGGTCTCCAGACAATGATGAAGAAAATCTGTTGGTAATTGATACATGGGCCAAAGCATCAGAGGTTTAATTAAGTTTATTTCACACACTAAGAACTTAGCTTTTTTTATTGTTGTTGGTAGTTCCATGTGCATGCTAGAATATGGGACAGGTACTGTTCACATACAGTTACCAGAAAAACTTAAATTAACCAAAGGTACACTCTATAATGGTAGATACCCCTTTCATATGTATGCAATATATTCCAGATATTTTGAGAAATTACAGAAGAGGAGGCCTGCTTCACATGCAGATAAGTTTATTATAATTCTCAAGAAATGTGCAGGATGTGCATTGGCAAATTGCCCTGTATTTTTGCTATGTGAAATCTAAATTTAGGATTAATAGCTTTAAAGGTTTAAAGTAGAGATTGATAAAATTAACACAGAAAAGATAACCTTGTCTAAATGAACTTTATCTTGAACCTAAATATAGGTTTGCTGACTTCTAGTAGACAAGGTCTTGGTTACTTGTTCAGATGCTTAGGTATCCCACTGGCAAAGGTCTTAGTTTCTTGAAACGAGGCATTTTTTGTTATGACTTGACTTTGAAGAGTTACTTGAATTTGCACCAGCAGAATAAAATACTTAGGACATGTGCCTTGTGCCTACTATGATAACAGGTTTATGTTGTGTTGGTTATAACTTAATTGGTGCATTTGACTGATTTTACACAAAATTGGGCTATTTTTACATAGAACTTAAAACCAAGTTTCTTAAAAAAATTTTCTGTCTCTTTTGGCTGTCTAGCTGTCAGAAAAGCTAACAGAAGATGGAACTAAAAATTCCAATGAAAAATCTTCCCAGCAAAGAAACATAGCTTTTAGCACTAATGTAAGTAGATGTCAGCATTGACCACTCAGAAATTGGGATTTTATTGTTATTTTGCATATTATGTGGTATTTATTTTTGTTTTGGTTGTAATAATTTGGGGTCTGTTGAGCCTCTTCATACATAAAATTATATGTTCAAAATTTTGCATTTGCTTGCCCATGCTTGTTTTCTCTCTCTGCCTGTCTGCCTACCTCTCCCTCCCTCCCTCCCTCCCTTCCTCTCTTCAGGTTGGGCTTGAATTGACTGTAGCCTAGGCTTGCCTTCAACTCGTGATAGTTGTCCTCTTGCTTTAGGCATGGTAGTTATTTTAAATCTTTCTCTTTATATTGAACTAATGAGAATTTTATAAAATAAAGGTTTAAAAAGCAAAGCTTGACTTGGTGGCATATGCCTGTAATCCCAGCACTTGGGAGGTGGAGATGGGAGGATTGATGCGAGTTTAAGGACAGCCTGAAGTACTTAATGAGACCCTGTCTCAAAACAAAGCAAAAAACCCCTCTCTTGTCACGCTATTTGTTTTCTTAGCTTCACAACTTGATTGAATCACTTTATTAAATAAGGCCTGTTTTGTCTCAGCTCTTAGATGGGGTTACTTAGTGGATTTTGTGAAAAAACAAATATTTATGTCTAAAATGTTTCTTTATGTATTGTCTTACAGAATTCTGTAGCAAAACCAAAGCAGAACACAGCTAGCACTGCTACTGAAGAAAAATCTTCAGGATCACCAAAAATAGATAAGAAAAAAAGCCCATATGGACTGTGGATACCTGTCTAAAAGAAGAAAGTGAATGGCTACAGTTGCCTCAAACTGC